AGTATTTTAATATGTATTTTCGTGTTTATTAGGAAAAATTTATAATAAGCTCATCATATGCCTAAACTCATAGATAATTTTGCCTTGGATGAGGCAACAATGAAACATAGCAATCAATGTAAAGCTATTTACTATTAAGTAAATAATCCATTAAAGAGAGTGAAATAAAAGTGCACGGGAAGTCCATGAAAAAGCATCTAGCAAACAAGGGCACAGTAGAAGAAAGCATGAATTTTAGAGTCAGAACTAAGTTTGGATCCAGCTGGATCACAAACTAGCTTTTGCTCCTAGACCAGTACTTCAATTTCTCTGGGTTTTGCTGCACTGTTTTTTTTTTTTTTCCTTCAGGTTGTTTTGAGCCAAATGAGACAATGCATAAAAAGCCTAGACATGTATTAGACACCAAATAAATGTTAGTTCCCTTCTTTAAAAGGCAAGTAATTAATTTAATATACTTAGGTATCATTTACCCACTGTGGTTCTTACTCAAAAATTAAGACAACACAAAGAGTCAACTGACTTATAGTCCGTTGAGTCGGGGTGGACTGTCAGCTCTTATGTGCCAGGGATGGAAAGCAAGGACAGATGGCCAAAGCTGAGGCCAAGCTTTGGACTCCAGTCTCTTAAAGAGGCACCTCCTCTGCATGCAGTCAGTGTGAAAGCAGCTTTATGCACTCCGTATCAAAGCAGGTGGCTGTCAGGTGCAGGCACGGGGTCTCAGCCTTGAGGATTTAATAACGGTCAAGAATATTCATGACACCTGTGCCTTCGTGGGACCTGTCAGAGAGGCAGACATTAATTGAATTATCCTACAAGTAAATAAGCTCTATTATGGAAAATGTTATAAAGGAAGGGCACCAGTACCATGGGAGTGTCATTCAGGGACGCCCTCGTTAGTCTGGAGTAAGGGGAAGATCTTCTTGGCCAGTGATGTTGGAGCTGAGATCTGAAGACCAAACAGGGGCTCACCCAGAACAGCCGGTAGGAAGTCCGTGCTTGCTAGGAGGATTATATGTGCTGGGAAAGAACGGGGTGAGCTGAGAAAAGATTGGTGTATTTGGATCAGAAGGAACAAAGGGGATCTCTTATGACATGAAATGAGTTTTAAGAAGTGGGCTGGAGCCAGATTATAAAAAGACTTGTCCAAATAAAGGAATTTGCTGTTTGCCCTAAAAGGGATAAGACACCATTGAGAGATGTCCATTATGGGGTGACATAAACTAATTATAAATTTTAAAAGATACCCTGGAAACCTGTACTGATCAGTGTTCTCCCAAGAAATAAACACACACACACACACACACACACACTGGGATTTAGTATAGGCAGTTGACACACACAGTTATGGAGGCTGAGAAGTCCCACGATCTGCCTTCTGCAGGCTGGAGACCCAGGATGGCTGGTTGTGACTTCACTCCACGTTCAAAGAAGTGAGACCCGGGAGAGTCCCTGGTGTAGATTCTGGTCTGGGTCTGAATGCCTGAGAAGCCAGAGCACCTAGGGAATCGTGCCATACGGTAGCTACGTGTGGCTAATGAGCTCTTGGATGTGGCTAGCACAATCCAAGAACTGGATATTTTATTTTATTTATCAGTATGAATTGAAATAGCCACATGTGGGGGCACCCGGGTGGCTCAGTGGGTTAAGCCTCTGCCTTCAGCTCAGGTCATGATCTCAGGGTCCTGGGATCGAGCCCCATATCAGGCTCTCTGCTTAGCGGGGAGCCTGCTTCCCCCTCTCTCTCTGCCTGCCTCTCTGCTTGTGATCTCTGTCTGTCAAATAAATAAATAAAAATCTTAAAAAAAAAAAAAAAAGAAATAGCCACATGTGACTTTTGGCTTCCATACTGGACAATGTAGTTGTAATATGTGAGCCTCTTCTATCCCTGCATGTCCCTGATCTCTATCTGAAGTTATTTTATTCATACATTTTACATTGCTTAATATATGTCTCTTCATGCTAGAATGTCTTATTGACTGCTGGATACATAACACTCATGGTAGGGACTGACAGGTAGTAATATCTCAATAAATGTTTTGTTAAACTGACTTTAAAATTAATAAATGCCCCTTAGGCGCACTTTGTTTTTCTTTTTTAAATATCTTATTTTTAAGTAATCTCTACACCCAACTTGGGGCTTGAACCTATAGCCCCAAGATCAAGGGTCACATGCTCTGCCAGTTAAGCCAGTCAGGTGCCCCATCAACACTTTGCTATTTTTTAAGTACTTTGCTTCTGATGATGTTGCCTTCCACGAAAACATGTGGGAGTCAAAATCGGGGTAGTATTGTAACAAACTGCTAAAAGCTTGTTTATTACCTAGTTGGTTTCATTACATCCAGCTCAATGTTTTGCATTCATCCTAATCAGTTACATCTCCTTAGTTTCTGTTTGTCTTTCCATTATGTTGAAATGGACCTGGAGTCTGCCCCTGTCTGTTCCAGCAGTTTGCGCATTCGGGAATCCTAGGGACTCTCTTCCTCTACCCTACTTGTGCTTCTGATACTGCCCAAAACTTGTACAGTGTGGAAGTGTTGGAGAAGGTCATCGAGAGGTCATGATCAAGGTCGTGACCCTCGCTGGACCTGGGAGGCAAACTCAGGCGATCGGCGAGGCTCCTCCCCCTCCCCTGTCCTTGGATATAAGCCCCGCCCAGCAGTCCCACAGTCGGGGGCATTGTTAAGGACGCAGGCTTGAGACCGCAGTGTGGTACTCGGGGCAAATGGATGGTATACTTGGCTGAGCCCTGCCAAGGCTTCTCTAAATTTGTAAGATTCTGGAGGGCAGGTGTGGGGACGCTCTCATCTTGCAGCGGCCTCAGACAAGCCTGGTGAGTAAGCTCCCTCGCGGGTTAACCCCGCCACCCCCACCCCTGCAGCGGTTTACCTCCTCCCACTCTCCCTGCCCTGCGTATGGACACCGGTCTGCAAACCCACGGGAAGCTCTGCAAACCCACGGGAAGCTTCGGTTGCAGATCCAAGATCGTTGTTATCTTTAGATGTCGGTTTTTTGGTTGAGTTAAAGTCAAGTCTTTCGCTATTTTGCAAGGACAAAAGGTCACACCGTCATTATGACACAAAATGGCCCCAAGGTTTTGTTTGCTTTCCTTTGTTTGGTAGAATTCTCAGAGCGTTTGAAAAAAAACAGCAGAAAAAGTACAGAATTCACTCTCTGCGAGCTCTCCTTTGCGCACAGATCTTAAAACGCTCTGCACATGGTTGCTGGTGAAGGGATGTTAAAGAGAAAAAAGGAAAAAGATACTCTTCTAGCCAAGCATACCTCGTTTCATTTTTGCTTACTGCCTTCAAATTCTGTGCACACGCACCCGTTCCACACGCGCGAGTCATGTGCTATTTTGTGCGTTTACGAGTAATAGTCTAAGTGGATCAACACGGTGGGATGACGATTTGATCTAACGGCTGTATTCTCCGACGCTGTAATAAACATTCGGTCAACCAGTCCCCCGTCCCTGGGCGTTTAGCGGAAGCCAGTAGTGACTCGTTATTCTAATAACGAAATAACAGTGAATGTTTCCATAGATCTCGTGCAACCTGACTCATGTAGACCCAGCAGTGGTATCCAAGTGGAACAAAGTGTATGAGTCCTTCGTAGCTTTTGTGGGATTTTCTGAGGCTCCTTTCCAAAAGAATGCTACCAGTTCGTGGTACCATCGGGTGGGGTGCGATCGTGCTGATTCCAACTGAAAGTGGTTCTCTGTCATTTTCCTAATCTGGGCTTATTTTGGCAACGGAACTGATCACAACAGTAGTGACCATGGGAGCAGCTAGTTTTCTGTAGATGAAGCATGGGAGAGCAAGAGAGTGAGTGCTTTAAGAACGTGGTTCAGAGTGGCTAAAGGTATAAACTCTGGAAACTGACTTCATGAGGTCAAATCCAGATTCTACCACTTAACCTCTAATCTGTGTCCATTCCGTCCTCGCAAATGACGCATGGGGTTGCCGAGTGAAGACCAAGTGAGTTTATACAGAGAGCGCCTTGTAAGCCCTGGATAATGTTGATTATTATTCCTCATACTGGGTGTTTTTTATTAACCTCATTTGGCAGGTGGGAAATCTGAGACCCAGGCGGAGGGCTCAAGGCCACTTAGCTCCTGAAAAGTGGGCTGGGATTCCAGCCACAGGGGACCATTCCCCAGGAGCGGCAGTATCAGGGACGACACAGGGACCAGAACTCACATCCGAGAAGTGTTACTGTTGCTGCCCAGTTAGACGAAGGTGGAATCAGGCATAAGAAAAGAGAGCATAAGGCCGCTGAGACTCGTGGGAAATGGCCTGACACAATCCCTTGTTGCCAAGATAAACAATAGAGCTGGGGTGTTTTGTTTTGTTTTGTTTTGTTTTGTTTTGTTTTATATTATTTTTCTCATCCTTGAGATCTGAAGGTAGCTCTGTATCCAAGTGTCCCACAGGATTGTGAAATCCCGTCTTGATTACACTGGCCTGGTGGCCAGTAATCCCAGGGTCGCACTCAGGATCCCGCAAATGGGGTCTTCCTTGCCTCGGGAGGGCTCTCTATAAATACTTACTGACCCAAATTTCTCCTAAACATCACCATAAACGCTTCCAGTTATTTCTTAATGCACTGTGTTCATAACTGCTTAGTCAATTATTTTTATTAGCATAACATTCCTTTTAAGCATAATGATGTTAGAAAAAAACAGAAACAATGTAAGCACATTTTCTCGGTTCTGGCTGATTGCGAGTGTTTTCTCTCTTTTTCTTTTCTGGACTTCCTTTGCAGATTTGATGAATTAATTGTGAATTTCCCAAGGGGGACCTAACATGAACTGAAATTTGTCGTTTATCCTATAATGTTTAGTTTATATTCTGGTTCCAGTGACTATCCATTGAGACCAAAGTTTGAATATTGCCAAGGGCTCATAAAATTGCTGATATAACCTACTTTCTCCAGAGAACCTGACTTCCATTTTCATAATGAATTAATGCCTTCTTTCTCCCCCAACTTCTTTGCTCCCACAGCTATTTGTGGAGACCACTGATGTCAACGGCAAAACCCTCGAGGGGCCAGTTCCTCTGGAAGTCATCGTGATTGACCAGAATGACAACAGACCCATCTTTCGGGAAGGCCCCTACATTGGCCATGTCATGGAAGGATCCCCGACAGGTATGTGAAATTGGCTTACATTAGCATAATGGCTTGGGAAGTGGCATCCTGTGATCTTTGGGGATTCCAGAAACTGTTTTGTTGCCGCTCCAACTTCTTGGTATGCCTCAGCACAGACCTGTTACCTCCCTGGGTGGAAGCCAGATCTGCAGATCTGCAACTCAGAACAGGACGGGGGTGTTGGAGGCTGTGGAAGGCTTTCACCTCATCTCTGAAAGCCACCTTTCAGGGACGGCCAACATTGAAGTTTCTAGTGAGTGGCTGGTGGTGGACATTGTATAAATACGGAGCTCACCCTTGTGAGGGCCCAGGGTTGAGGTTTGTGGTATGACGGGGCTTTGAAGAAAATTAAGGTCCTCACCCCCAAGCTCCTCGCTTCTTCCTTTCATCATTGTCTTTTAATAAGAACCATTTTGGGAAGAAAAAAAAAAGAAAAACAGATAGGACTTATTTTTTCCCTTTCCTTACACAAGGTGCATGGAGAAAACTTTTGTCTTCGGTCAAAGGGCCAAAGGCAGGACATTTTATTTCTCTCTGGAAACACAGGCCCTACTGTGATGTTACTACAGAGCTCCTCTTATCTTTTTTCCATACTTAACCTTTCCATCAGGGAAAGTTGTAGAATTTAGAGCTCCTTTTTTTGGGACCAGAGATATCAGTAAAAACATTCTGTGACCGGCAGCTGAAGTCACGGCTGAGTATGGTGCTTGGCCAAAAACAGAGCAAAGTCCAAAAGTCCCTATTATGAGCCTGGACTTTGATTTTAAGCTTTGAAATCCATTTGGGTGAGGAAGCATCCTAGGGAGAGCCTCACTGTCGCCAGGTCTAGATTGTGCCCAAACTAATAAGCCATTCAGCCGGTCGGACAGGAGATGGAAACCCCGAGCCCTGCTTTGACTGGTTCTGTTTTCCCCCTTTGCTGAATTGATGGGACGTATCAATCACATGTAGATCTATGAGGCTATGCAAGCGTTGTCATGGTAACCTGCCTAGATCACCCCATGAGTCATTGTTTGCAAGGTGCCTACACCTCCCTCCAGCTTCAAGGAGCTCGGTCCCCCTGTACTTCCTCAACTCCCCAGGGGTCGGGTGCAAGCTCCCCCTTCCCAGCTGTGAAGGCATTCTGTAAAAAGGGGTGGGGATTGCCTGTGGGTGCTGGGGGGCGTTTGGCGGGGAACCCAGCAGGTAGAAGAGTAGCAACCAGCCTGGAAAATGGGGAGTGGTAGGTAAAAGTGGGTCAGATCACTTTGGGCCAGACCTTTCCCGTGGCACCTGTCCCTCACCTCCCCGGAGACTGCTTTGGATAGAAGGAGGGCTTCTGGGGAGAGAGACCCTGGAATTGGGGTTTAAGGTTCACAGGTATGTTCTTCAACAAGCCAACGTGTGGGGCAAATCGGGAACTGTTGGGGAAAGCTATTAAAGAGGCTGGAGTTCGAGCAGAGCTGGAAAATGATTCCCAGTTTCCATCTGTGGTGGGTCCTGTGTCTGCACGTAACTGGAATTGGAGCCAGGCCAGGAAAGTGTTCTAAATGTAAATGATGATGCTGACGTCAGAGGCGGCTGGGAGCGTGTGCGTGTCTTTGTATATTATGTGTGTATGTGATTAGACGATGTCCAATTTTCCTCCCACTGCACCCTTCCTTAAAGTTTCAGAAAGAATTTCAGATTTTATTGCTTTATATACATGTCACATTTTCAAAGAAAAATGGAATCCTTTATGTCCACTGAATTTCTTAAAGCACAAAGTAATTCGGTTAGGGTGGCCAGATCTCCAGCAAAACATAAACCACCTCCAAGTTCTATTTATGATTAGGATTATGCTATAAAAATATATAAAAATGCGATACCTATGTGGCTTCTTTCAGCTAGGCAGAATTTGGCCTGAATCATTGTTTTCTTCTTCGCCCCCTTCTGGGTTTGGCTTTAAAGCAGGAACTGAGATAGAGTCAGTCCGATCTGGGGTCAAGAGTGCGGAAATGTTGTGGGAAACTTTTAGAGGAAACCCCACCTAGATCGCCTGGTGCCTCCTAAAGGGATCTCAGGCAGGATGACCCCGAAGCCTCAGTGAGGGCAGTGGGCAGTGGAAATCTGGGGCAGGGGCTGGGATCCCTTTCCAGTCCCCTTTCCCCAACCTAAACTGGTATAAGTTAGAACAAGGAACCCCGACCGGCTGTAGAAATATGGCGTCTCTGGTATCAATAATGAGTGGCTCCTTTGTGGTTAGTGGAATCTTCGTAGCGGATCCATTTTAGAGAAGGGAATGCTGACCCTGGAAAGTGTTCTGTGACTTCGCCACTCACATAAACAGTAGATGGGGACCAGTGTTCCAGGCTCATTTCTGTATCTTCCACCTGCAAATCATGTGCGCGTTCAAGTGTCGTGCAAACTTCCTGGTGAAGACAGCCATCAAACCGTGACAGCACGGATTGAGTGCTCACCGTGTGCCGAGACCTCTGCGACCAATGTCCTTGCCTCCACCACACCATTCCCTCCCCAGAGGGGTGGATACGCTCTCCCTAGCATACATAGGAGAAGCGTGAACCTCAAAGAGATCCAGATGCTTGGCCAAAGTCCCACAGCTGGTGGCTGAGCTAGAATCCGGGTCCGTGTCTCTGGCTCGAGGCCTAGGCTGTCTCCCATGGACGTGTTGGCGTTGGCCACCTTCCCTCCCGTTCTTGACTTTGGACTGTTTGCAGTCCCAGCTGGAGGGCAAGTACTCGCTCTATCAGAGAAACCAAGTAAAACACTCTTCTGACCAAACAGTCAGCTCCTTGAGTCCCTCCTTATAACTGCTGCTCGGTCTCTGGGGTTGAACAGGGTCACACATGGGCCTGGTTGTCACTCATAGTGCTTTCTTCTGAGTTCAGGTCATCTGGGCTGGCTTCGTGGGGTGTGACCTGCACAGCCTCACAGGGACCTAGGCTTGGCATTAGGCTCTGCCGTCACCACCTTAAAATTCTTAAGTATCAAACAAGGAGCCCTGCATTTTCCTTTTGCAGTGAGCCCCCCACCACCACCCAGTTGTGGAGCTGGTCCTGAGCACAGCACTGTGGCCCAGGCTTGGTTTGATGCTCCACTCAGCTCCTTAACCAGGTGAGACCTTGGGCAGCCGACTGAACCTTCTAGAAGCCTCAGTCACCTTGTCTGTAGATGGGGTGGGTGAATGATAGTCCCCGCCCTGGAGGACTGTATGCACGCCTTAAATGAGACGCTGCTTCCCTCAGCATGAACCAAGGTTCAAGAGATGCTAGTGCGTCTTTAATGCCCCCTGTAATTCTTATGATTCCTGCAACGTACCATGTCGGGGAGCTGAGGCAAACAGGCAGTTTGTGTGCAGGGACATTCATCTCCCAACAACCGAGCATCATTTTGATGTTCCGGTGGACCTGGATGTGCCATCAGCACCAATCCGTCATGGAGGAAGGCCACCCATATTTATCTGGCGTGCAGACAGGAGACCGTTTCCAGCTGCTCCTCACTGAACTCCAGGGTATTGTTTTGGGGAATCAGTACTGGATGAGGGAAGATCAACAGAAAATAATGGTCTTTGAACTTCACAAATGATGAGCTATTCCTTTCGTGGAGTCCCAAGGCATTGATTTATGGGACCCTAGTCCTGGCCCCGGCTGCTCTGGCTTGGTGGGGGAAGGGCAGCCAGAGCTCTGCGCAAGCCTGGGGTTTTCTGAATGCCCAAGGCAGGCCGGGACTTCATGAGCGGGGACAGAGGGCTGGGAGCCTTGGAGTTCCTGGAGGACACATGTGGCAGGACCCCACAGTGCCTACTGGCACCAACCCCCCAGTGTCTTTCCACCAGTGGTCTTCTAGGCACCGTGGAGAAGTGCCAACCACGAGCCCCTGGGATGAGTCCTGAGGGCATGTGTTTTACCTGGGAGGTGCAGGCTGCTGGCTGAGGCGGGCTCCAGGTAAGGGAAGCCAGATACCAGGGTGGGCAATTGTGAGCTTGATCTCTTGGTGGGGGGTTTGGGGGTGTACCTAGGAAATAACATGAACACGCACACATCAGAGTTACCCCGGCCCAGGGGAGCTGGAATACACATCCCCACGCACCCCTCAGATATTGGCCACAAACTACCCCCAGAGGAACTTCAATTCCCAGGCACCCTTGGCCATTGCGGGCTACCAGCAGGGCGCAGCCTTCTGACATGCTGCAGAAGCTGTCTGGCGGGAAGGGCGGTGTCTCCACAGGCTCTGCCCCCCATGCTTTCCGCCCGGCCAGCCCGAATGTGAGCTGGGGCAGCTTGGAGGAAGGCACCCACCACCTGGACGGACGGAGTGGCTTTGAGGGGTGTTAGGGGTGGGAGGTGAAGAGAGGAAATACCTTAGTCCCTAAAAGGCATGACCAAAAAGGGACCAATGTTACATTGACTTTTCTCACTATTTTATTTTTTAAAAATTTTTTAAAGATCGTATTTATGTATTCGAAAGAGAGAGCGCAGGGAAAAAGCAGGGGGAGAAGGATAAGCAGACTCCACACTGAGCACAGAGCCTGACGCCAGGCTCGATCTCACGACCCTGAGATCACGACCTGAGCCGAAGCCAAGAGTCAGACGCTTAACCGGCTGAGCCCCCCAGGAGCCCTAACTTTCTCTTTAAATAGGGGTCAGGACCCAGGGGTGCACGTTGTGACTCCTAAGAGGGATGACACTTCACCTGGAGCAGGTGGAGAGGAGCAGGGATGGGCCGCTAAACCCTCTTCTGGCTTCTGAGGGCACAGCTGCCCTTGCCCTCTCCGGCTTCCTGTCTCGCTCCCTCTTGTTTCCGTCCGGGGCCACTCCTGAGCACCTACACGGCGCCAGCACTATTTTGAGCTCTGAGGGTGCGGCTGGGGGCCTGTTCGTGCTGCTCATCCCCTCCCGGTTTACAGAGCCAAGCAGGGAGACCGGCAACAAGTAAGAACTGAAGTGTGGGCAGCGCTACGATCCCGCCACCCAGGACGCCTGTCCCAGAGGGGCGCGCCCCAGCCTCCCCGAAGACGTGCT